CAAGATAACTTTTATCTGAATTATGCAAATCCGGCATTATTGAAGTTTTTGTAACTAGTGGTGATACTGGCAGTGGTGATACTGGCAGTGGTGATGCTGGCAGTGGTGATACTGGCAGTGGTGATACTGGCAGTGGTGATACTGGCAGTGGTGATACTGGCAGTGGTGATACTGGCAGGGGTTTGATTACGGGCAGTGGTGATACTGGCAGTGGTGATGCTGGCAGTGGTGATGCTGGCAGTGGTGATGCTGGCAGTGGTGATGCTGGCAGTGGTGATGCTGGCAGTGATGGATGCGGGCAGTGGTGATGCTGGCAGTGGTGATACTGGCAGTGGTGATACTGGCAGTGGGGGATGCTGGCATGTGTGATGCTGGCAGTGGTGATGCTGGCAGTGGTGATGCTGGCAGTGGGATGCTGGCAGTGGTGATGCTGGCAGTGGTGATGCTGGCAGTGGTGATGCTGGCAGTGGTGATACTGGCAGTGGTGATGCTGGCAGTGGTGATGCTGACAGTGGTGATACTGGCAGTGGTGATACTGGCAGTGGTGATACTGGCAGTGGTGATCTGGCAGTGGTGATACTGGCAGTGGTGATGCTGAAAGTGGTGATGCTGGCAGTAGTGATACTGGCAGTGGTGTTTACTGGCAGTGGGGGATACTGGCAGTGGTGATACTGGCAGTGGTGATACTGGCAGTGGTGATACTGGCAGTGGTGATACTGGCAGTGGTGATACTGGCAGTGGTGATACTGGCAGTGGTGATGCTGGCAGTGGTGATGCTGGCAGTAGTGATGCTGGCAGTGGTGATGCTGGCAGTGGTGATGCTGGCAGTGGTGATGCTGGCAGTGGTGATGCTGGCAGTGGTGATGCTGGCAGTGGTGATACTGGCAGTGGTGATACTGGCAGTGGTGATACTGGCAGTGGTGATGCTGGCAGTGGTGATGCTGGCAGTGGTGATGCTGGCAGTGGTGATACTGGCAGTGGTGATGCTGGCAGTGGTGATGCTGGCAGTGGTGATACTGGCAGTGGTGATACTGGCAGTGGTGATACTGGCAGTGGTGATGCTGGCAGTGGTGATGCTGGCAGTAGTGATACTGGCAGTGGTGATACTGGCAGTGGTGATACTGGCAGTAATGATGCTGGCAGTGGTGATGCTGGCAGTGGTGATGCTGGCAGGGGTGATGCTGGCAGTGGTGATGCTGGCAGTGGTGATATGGCAGTGGTGATACTGGCAGTGGTGATACTGGCATTTGGTGATGTGGCAGTGGTGATGCTGGCATGGTGAGGGCTGGCAGTGGTGATACTGGCGTGGTGATGCGGGAGTGGTGATGCTGGCAGTGGTGATACTGGCAGTGGTGAAAATGGCAGTGGTGATACTGGCAGTGGTGATGCTGGCAGGGGGTGTTTGCTGGCAGTAGTGATACTGGCAGTGGTGAAAACTGGCAGTGGTGATGCTGGCAGTGGTGATGCTGGCAGTAGTGATACTGGCGGGGTGAAAATGGCAGTGGTGAGGGCGGCAGTGGTGATACTGGGAGGGGTGATGCTGGCAGTGGTGATGCTGGCAGTGGTGATACTGACAGTGGTGATGCTGGCAGTGGTGATACTGGCAGTGGTGATGCTGGCAGTAGTGATGCTGGCAGTGGTGATGCTGGCAGTGGTGATGCTGGCAGTGGTGATGCTGGCAGTGGTGATGCTGGCAGTGATGCTGGCAGTGGTGATATGGCAGTGGTGATACTGGCAGTGGTGATGCTGGCAGTGGTGATGCGGGCCCAGTGGTGATGCTGGCAGTGGTGATGCTGGCAGTGGTGATACTGGCAGTGGTGATACTGGCAGTGGTGATACTGGCAGTGGTGATACTGGCAGTGGTGATGCTGGCAGTGGTGATACTGGCAGTGGTGATACTGGCAGTGGTGGATGCTGGCAGTGTGATGTGGCTGGTGATGTGGCAGTTGTGAGCTGGCAGTGGTGATTGGGCAGTGGTGATACTGGCAGGGGTGATGCTGGGCAGTGGTGATGCTGGCAGTGGTGATGCTGGCAGGGGTGATGCTGGGCAGTGGTGATGCGGCAGTGGTGATGCTGGCAGTGGTGATGCTGGCAGTGGTGATGCTGGCAGTGGTGATGCTGGCAGTGGTGATACTGGCAGTGGTGATACTGGCAGTGGTGATACTGGCAGTGGTGATGCTGGCAGTGGTGATACTGGCAGTGGTTGATGCTGCAGTGGTGTACACATGGTGATCTGCAGTAGTGATGCGGGCAGTGGTGATACTGGCAGTGGTGATACTGGCAGTGGTGATGCTGGCAGTGGTGATACTGGCAGTGGTGATGCTGGCAGTGGCGATACTGGCAGTGGTGATACTGACAGTGGTGATGCTGGCAGTGGTGATACTGGCAGTGGTGATGCTGGCAGTAGTGATGCTGGCAGTGGTGATGCTGGCAGTGGTGATGCTGGCAGTGGTGATGCTGGCAGTGGTGATGCTGGCAGTGATGCTGGCAGTGATGCTGGCAGTGATGCTGGCAGTGGTGATATTTGGCAGTGGTGTTTGCTGGCAGTGGTGATGCTGGCAGTGGTGATGCTGGCAGTGGTGATGCTGGCAGTGGTGATGCTGGCAGTGGTGATACTGGCAGTGGTGATACTGGCAGTGGTGATGCTGGCAGTGGTGATGCTGGCAGTGGTGATGCTGGCAGTGGTGATGCTGGCAGTGGTGATGCTGGCAGTGGTGATATGGCTTTGGGTGATACTGGCAATGGTGATACTGGCAGTGGTGATGCTGGCAGGGGTTTGAAAACTGGGCAGTGGGGGATGTGGCAGTGGTGATACTAGCAGTGGTGATACTGGCAGTAGTGATGCTGGCAGTGGTGATACTGGCAGTGGTGATACTGGCAGTGGTGATGCTGGCAGTGGTGATACTGGCAGTGGTGATACTGGCAGTGGGGGATCCCTGGCAGTGGCGAATACTGGCAGTGGTGATACTGACAGTGGTGATGTTGGCAGTGGTGATACTGGCAGTGGTGATGCTGGCAGTAGTGATGCTGGCAGTGGTGATGCTGGCAGTGGTGATGCTGGCAGTGGTGATGCTGGCAGTGGTGATGCTGGCAGTGATGCTGGCAGTGATACTGGCAGTGGTGATACTGGCAGTGGTGATGCTGGCAGTGGTGATGCTGGCAGTGGTGATGCTGGCAGTGGTGATGCTGGCAGTGGTGATGCTGGCAGTGGTGATGCTGGCAGTGGTGATGCTGGCAGTGGTGATACTGGCAGTGGTGATACTGGCAGTGGTGATGCTGGCAGTGGAGATGCTGGCAGTGGTGATACAAGCAGTAGTGATACTGGCAGTGGTGATACTGGCAGTAGTGATGCTGGCAGTGGTGATGCTGGCAGTGGTGATACTGGCAGTGGTGATGCTGGCAGTGGTGATGCTGGCAGTGGTGATACTGGCAGTGGTGATACTGGCAGTGGTGATACTGGCAGTGGTGATACTGGCAGTGGTGATACTGGCAGTGGTGATACTGGCAGTGGTGATACAAGTAGTTGTGATACTGGCAGTGGTGATACTGGCAGTGGTGATGCTGGAAGTGGTGATACTGGCAGTGGTGATAATGGCAGTGGTGATGCAGTCAATGGTGATACTGGCAGTGGTGATGCTGGCAGTGGTGATACTGACAGTGGTGATACTGGCAGCAGTGATACTGGCAGCGGTGATACTGGCAGTGGTGATACTGGCAGTGGTGATACTGGCAGCGGTGATACTGGCAGCGGTGATACTGACAGCGGTGATACTGGCAGCGGTGATACTGGCAGCGGTGATACTGGCAGCGGTGATACTGGCAGCGGTGATACTGGCAGCGGTGATACTGACAGTGGTGATACTGGCAGTGGTGATACTGGCAGTGGTGATACTGGCAGTGGTGATACTGGCAGTGGTGATACTGACAGTGGTGATACTGGCAGCGGTGATACTGCCAGCGGTGATACTGGCAGTGGTGATACTGGCAGCGGTGATACTGGCAGCGGTGATACTGGCAGCGGTGATACTGGCAGCGGTGATACTGGCAGCGGTGATACTGGCAGCGGTGATACTGACAGTGGTGATACTGACAGTGGTGATACTGGCAGTGGTGATACTGACAGTGGTGATACTGGCAGTGGTGATACTGACAGTGGTGATACTGACAGTGGTGATACTGACAGTGGTGAAAACTGGCAGCGGTGAACACTGCCAGCGGGGGATACTGGCATGGTGATACTGGCAGTGGTGATACTGGCAGTGGTGATACTGGCAGTGGTGATACTGGCAGTGGTGTTTACTGGCAGTGGTGATACTGCAGTGGTGATACTGCAGTGGTGATACTGGCAGTGGTGATACTGGCAGTGGTGATACTGGCAGTGGTGATACTGGCAGTGGTGATACTGGCAGTGGTGATACTGGCAGTGGTGATACTGGCAGTGGTGATGCTGGCAGTGGTGATGCTGGGAGTGGTGATACTGGCAGTGGTGATACTGGCAGTGGTGATACTGACAGTGGTGATACTGGCAGTATCACCACTATATATAATCCTTACATATGCTGAGAAATAAAAAAAATATTTTTATTACGAACTGGAAATATAGACAAATAACCCACACATAGGAGAGAGAAGATTATGAAGACGTTTCGGTCATGTACCATAAACAAGTCACACCATCGTGTGTTAGTGTGACTTGTAGGTGTGTGTTAAGTAAAAGGACAAGTGCAGCTAATGTGATATTTTACTATGGCAACGTTTCGCTCTTCAGTAGTAGTAGTAGTAGTAGTAGTAGTAGTAGTAGTAGTAGTAGTAGTAGTAGTAGTAGTAGTAGTAGTAGTAGTAGTAGTAGTAGTAGTAGTAATAATAATAATAATAATAATAATAATAATAATAATAATACGTGTATGTGGTCCAACTCAGACCGAAATGTCGCCACAATCTTCTCTCTCCTATGTGTATTTGTGCTTCGTTTTCATTTCGAAATATATTGTATTACTTACTTCTTGATGCCAGGAAGGAGGAGCTGCGAGGCGTGTTTACATGTGTCAACACACTGGCGACGAACTTTACGGATGCGTTCACGAAGTTCAGGACCGTCTCTTGCCTGACCCACACATATTAAGAGATCCCTGAAGAGTGCCACCTGAGAGTTGATCTCCACCACCAGCTGTGAGGGAGAGAGAGGCGGGTGGTTAGTGGTGAGGAAGAGAGAGAGAGAGGTGGTTAGTGGTGAGGAAGAGTGAGAGGTGGTTATTGTTGAGGGAGAAACGTGTTGATATGAAGAAGACATATGTGTAACGCTTGGAATCTTTATTCACTGAGATGTTTCGCCCACCAGTGACTTTATCAATCCAATACAGATAATAAATACTGGTGACTGTAGAAGACGTAAGGTAATAAGTTGAGGTGATCAGTCCCTCAGCCTTGATAAATCCGAGAAGGTGAGGGGTGAGAAGGAGGTAGTAAGGGAGAGAGAGAGGTAGTGATGGAGAGAGGGAGGCAGTGAGGGAGGCAGGCAGTGAGGGAGAGAGGGAGGCAGTGATGGAGGAGGGGGGTTAGAAACATTACCTCAGTAAATTAGACTTAACAAACAATGTCAACATTGACTATATCTACACATAAATAGTGATCTTGCTAGTTTAATATAGTTAATTTTTTACGTAATAATAAGCACAACAAGCGAGCCTTCTGCTTTTCTATGCATGACTCACACACCAAGATAATTCAAAATAGTTATTAATAAAGACAAGAGTAGATAGTCCTTCTCGGTAGTCGTTTTCTGTCTAAGTTTCGCTCTGTGTGCAGCGTTGATAAAGATCTACACAGGGTGAAACGTTGTTTCAGTGAAAGATCTCTGTTGGTATTGTGTCACCATACTCACACACTTCAGCATGATGATCAAACATTCATTGTTTGTGCTGAAAATATAGTGAGATGACATGTATCAGAGTTAATCTGAGCCAAATAGCGTGGAGACAGAAACATGGGACTGCTTGAGAGTACTATGTACTACATGGAGGTATACTGGAGTACACACAAGTATTCTGAAATATACTGAGGTACAAGTGGGACACAGAAGTGCACCGGAGTACATGTCGGTACATGGGAATATATGGGAGTATATAGGAGTACAAGGGAGTATATTGGAGTACATGTAGTACATACGAGTACATGGAAACGCCGGATAACAGATGACCTGTAAATACACACTGAGGCTACCTGCTGACAAGAACTATCTGCTTCAACCTGGATTAATAACTACTGTGTATTACCTAGGTTTGAGAGTCAAAGACAGAAAAACCTAAGGTTCTCTCCCCGCCCCCTCCGGCCACTTTCGGTATGAGAACATATGGGATGGGAGAAGAAATATACCATACAATATTGCAAAAAATGGCAATCTTCCTTTATCATTTCTTTCCTGGTTTCTCCCTTTCCTCGCCTCGCCTCCCTGTTCTCTCCCTCGCCTCGTACATAGCGGTAAAGTGGCACTAACAGCACTTAATTGAACCTTGCTGGCCGCTGTCTTCCATTTGTCGCAGTGTTCTTGCGCGGTGACACGCGCAGGTATTTTTGTTTTTGTTAATGTGCAAGGCGTTGTCTGTCTGCTGTTGGCAGCCGTTGATGTAGTCAAATATACCGGCAGGAGGACTGTCAAACACACATACACACATACACACACACACACACACACACACACACACACACACACACACACATGGAATAGCCTAGAAGGTGATGTGGTAGAGGCAGGAACCATACATAGTTTTAAGGCGAGGTATGATAGAGCTCATGGGGCAGGGAGAGAGAGGACCTAGTAGCGATCAGCGAAGAGGCGGGGCCAGGAGCTGTGACTCGACCCCTGCAACCACAAATAGGTGAATAGGTGAGTACACACACACACACAGTTGTCAGAAAGTGGAATAGTCCGGAAAGTGATGTAGTGCAGGCAGGATCCATAAATAGCTTTAAGAAGAGGTATGATGAAACTCTTTGAGCAGGGAGAGAGTGGACCTAGTAGCGACCGGGGAACAGGCTGGGCCAGGAGCTGTGAATCGACTCCTGCAACCACAAATAGGTGAGTACACACACAAACACACACACTACATGTATTTGGCTTCAGAGATCTTGTTTTATGTGATGCTGTTAATTGTCTTTAAAAGGGAAATGAGAGAAAGAACAGCAAAGATAGTGCTAAGGAATGGAAAGAACTTGGAAGGGAGGGAGACGTAGGCGGAAAGGAAGAAGACAGAACAGTAAAGATGGTGTCAAGTAAAGAAAAGAACATTTGCCTGAGAAACCGAGAGAATTGTAAGCCTAAAGGTGAGCCACAGACCTCCTTGGTCCGAGTGTCCAAGGTTCAGTGCTGAACCTTCATGGTGGCTGCCTTGATGCCGGTGTAGGGTTCTTGAACCTTCATGGTGGGTGCCTTGATGCTGGTGTAGGGTTCTTGAACCTTCATGGTGGGTGCCTTGATGCTGGTGTAGGGTTCTAGAACCTTCATGGTGGGTGCCTTGATGCTGGTGTACGGTTCTTGAGCCTTCATTGTGGGTGCCTTGATGCTGGTGTAGGGTTCTTGAACCTTCATGGTGGGTGCCTTGATGCTGGTGAAGGGTTCTTGAACCTTCATGGTGGGTGCCTTGATGCTGGTGTAGGGTTCTTGAACCTTCATGGTTGGTGCCTTGATGCTGGTGTACGGTTCTTGAACCTTCATGGTGGGTGCCTTGATGCTGGTGAAGGGATTCTTGAACCTTCATGGTGGGTGCCTTGATGCTGGTGTAGGATTCTTGAACCTTGAAGCTGTTGAAAATCTTTAGCATCAAGGACATGACCAGCACAGAGAACGTTACAATTTATTCGAAGTTCATCAAACACCCATTGTAATGCCTGCTCTCACACCTGTGTTGTCAGGTACACACCTGTGTTGTCAGGTACACACCTGTGTTGTCAGGTACACACCTGTGTTGTCAGGTACACACCTGTGTTGTCAGGTACACACCTGTGTTGCCAGGTACACACCTGTGTTGTCAGGTACACACCTGTGTTGCCAGGTACACACCTGTGTTTTGGTCCAGTGTTGCATGCACACCTGTGTTGCCAGGTCACACCTGTGTTTCCAGGTACACACCTGTGTTATTAGGTCACTGGTCAGTACACACCTGTGTTGCCAGGTGCACACCTGTGTTGCCAGGTACACACCTGTGTTATTAGGTACACACCTGTGTTGTCAGGTACACACCTGTGTTGTCAGGTACACACCTGTGTTGTCAGGTACACACCTGTGTTGTCAGGTACACACCTGTGTTGCCAGGTACACACCTTGGTTATTAGGTACACACCTGTGTTGCCAGGTGCACACCTGTGTTGCCAGGTGCACATCTGTGTTGCCAGGTGCACACCTGTGTTGTCAAGTGCACACCTGTGTTGCCAGGTACACACCTGTGTTGTCAGGTACACACCTGTGTTTCCAGGTACACACCTGTGTTGCCAGGTACACACCTGTGTTGTCAGGTACACACCTGTGTTGCCAGGTACACACCTGTGTTGCCAGGTACACACCTGTGTTGCCAGGTACACACCTGTGTTGCCAGGTACACACCTGTGTTGCCAGGTACACACCTGTGTTGTCAGGTACACACCTGTGTTGTCAGGTACACACCTGTGTTGTCAGGTACACACCTGCGTTGCCAGGTACGCACCTGTGTTGCCAGGTACGCACCTGTGTTGCCAGGTACACACACCTGTGCTGTCAGGTGCACACCTGTGTTGACAGGTACACACCTGTGTTGCCAGGTGCACTCCTGTGTTGTCAGGTACACACCTGTGTTGTCAGGTACACACCTGTGTTGCGAGGTACACATCTGTGTTCCCAGGCGCACATCTGCGTTGTCAGATACACACCTGTGTTGCCAGGTACACACCTGTGTTGCCAGGTACCACACTGTGTTGCCAGGTACACACCTGTGTTGCCAGGTACACACCTGTGTTGCCAGGTAAACACCTGTGTTTCCAGGTGCACACCTGTGTTGCCAGGTAAACACCTGTGTTGCCAGGTACACACCTGTGTTGTCAGGTACACACCTGTGTTGCGAGGTACACACCTGTGTTGCCAGGTACACACCTGTGTTGCCAGGTACACACCTGTGTTGCCAGGTACACACCTGTGTTGTCAGGTACACACCTGTGTTGTCAGGTACACACCTGTGTTGTCAGGTACACACCTGTGTTGTCAGGTACACACCTGTGTTGCCAGGTACACACCTGTGTTGTCAGGTACACACCTGTGTTGCCAGGTACACACCTGTGTTGCCAGGTACACACCTGTGTTGTAGGTACAACACCTGTGTTGCAGGTACACACCTGTGTTGCCAGGTCACACCTGTGTTGCCAGGTACACACCTGTGTTATTAGGTACACACCTGTGTTGCCAGGTACACACCTGTGTTGTCAGGTACACACCTGTGTTGCCAGGTGCACACCTGTGTTGCCAGGTACACACCTGTGTTATTAGGTACACACCTGTGTTGTCAGGTACACACCTGTGTTGTCAGGTACACACCTGTGTTGTCAGGTACACACCTGGTTGCAGTACACACTGTGTTGTCAGGTACACACCTGTGTTGCCAGGTACACACCTGTGTTGCCAGGTACACACCTGTGTTGCCAGGTACACACCTGTGTTGTCAGGTACACACCTGTGTTGTCAGGTACACACCTGTGTTGCCAGGTACACACCTGTGTTGCCAGGTACACACCTGTGTTGTCAGGTACACACCTGTGTTGTCAGGTACACACCTGTGTTGCCAGGTACACACCTGTGTTGTCAGGTACACACCTGTGTTGTCAGGTACACACCTGGTTTCATTATTCTAGTTTCACCATTCTAGCCACATCCTTTCTTCTTAACAATTCCTCTTTCATTATTTCTGTTGCCTCATTATAGTTTATCATCCGTTATTCTGCTTTATCATTCAATTATATAATTTTCCTGCTCTAATTCCATTTTCATACCTGGAGAGGATTTCGGGGGTCACTGCCCCCCGCGGCTCGGTCTGAGACCAGTTTGAGTATATCATTACGTGAGAATTCCCTCTCTCCGTCTAAACCTCTCTCCCTCCCTTTATCTCTCTTGGTCCTTTCTCCCTCCCTTACCCCCCCCCCCATGAATCA